CTGGTGGTTTAGTGGTAAAGACTTGCAATGTCAACAAAAAGGTACACAGTTCCAATTCACCAGCTCCTCTGTGGGATAAGGATTGGCAATGTCCTGCTCCGTTAACTGCCTCTGAAAACCTTCTGGAGGGTCAGTTATGGATGAGTTCCAACTTGATAATACACACCAACAACAATTGTAACAGTTTTATAATATATAGTATTGTATTAAATACTGCATAATATGATATGATCTCTGAGAGAAGGAAGGACAGTCTCCTCCCGTGCAAATTACTGCCTTTGAAAACCTGGTGGAAGGTTGAATGTGAGTTGGTTCCCACCCAATGGTAAACAACAACAACAACAATATAATCTAGTGTAATAATAGTGGTGGTGGTGTTAGGTGACATCAAATTGAGTATGACTCATAGAGACCCTATGAACAGCCATTCTGCAACCTTCCCTATCCTGTGCCATTCTCATCTCTGAGACATTAGGCTCCATTTCTGAAGTCATACTGTCAAGACATCTCATTGGTGGTCTTTTTCTCTTTCACTGACCCTCCCTCTTTCTAATCATGATGTTTCTTTCCAAGGAATAGCCTTGTCTCACTACATGTCCAAACTATGACAAAGCTTGGTCATCCTTACCTCCAAGTAACGCTCTGGAAATACCCTTTCCAGGACATATAATAGTGGTGGTGGTGGTTATGTGCTGTCAAATCGCCAGCAACTCATAGCGACCCTATGTACAACAGCCCTGAACCTTGCTCTATCTTGTACCAATTTCATTGTCTCTGACACACCTATATCTTATCAAAGGTCTTCGTCTCCTGCATTGTCCCTCCACCCTCCCAAGCATGATGTCCTTCTCCAAGGACTGATCCTTCCTTGCAACATGCCCAAAGTATGTCAGACAAAGCTTCAGAATCCTTGCCTCCAAGGAGCAGCTTGGTCTCACCCTCTCTAGGATGAACTTGTTTGTTCTCTTAGCAGTCCATGGTATATTCAATACTCTTCTCCAGTACCACAGCTCAAAGGCATTAATTCTCCTTCTGTTATCCCTAGTCATTGTCCAACTCTCTGATGCATAGCAAGTAATTGCAAAGAATAGTGGTAGTATGCTAATAGAGAAAAAGTATGTATGCAATATAGACTGCACACCATTCCAGATGATCTAATTTTGCTTCTCTGTTAAGTGTTTTACAACTTGGTAGGTGATAGATGACTGATAGCAGTACAAAATAAGTACTGTTTTAGACTAACATGGTCTGTAAATGCTGTCAAATGATTCTCTCCATTAGACTGTTCATTTTCATATTCTTAACCTATAAATGTGTCTAGTATTTAAAATCTCCTTTGAACTGGTCAAAATATTTTACTGGTTTCCCCAATGGTGACTTAAATAAATCCTTTAACAGACTGAAAACCAAGACAAACAGAAAATATACACTGAGAAAACTGTGTTCATGTCAAAGATGGCAGACATCAGGGAAAAGGTGCCAAGAGTGTTGAGCTCAGTGAATTTGTGTCAAGATAATCATACCGTCATTATTTTTATCTTCTTAGTCTTTTTCTCTCTTTTTACATTTTCACAGATGTTATGTATAATGGAGAAATGAACGAAAAAATTAAGCTGCTGTATAGGCTTCATATCCCTCCAGGTAAGAAATCCCAAGTAGGAGAATTATGGCTTTGCTCTGCCTTAACATGGAACCAGCTTTCTGTACACCACCAAAGATTTTCTCGTTTTAAATTCTCTTAAATTCAAGGCAACAGATGTTTCTAGTTTTGGGGTTGTAATTACACCAAGTTCAGTTCGGCATGTCCCGTGGTAGTGCTTTTCAGACATTGGTGTGCCCCACAGTTACCTGCAAACCTGTTAACACGCAGGTGGCTTGGCCTCACACCTGGAGTTTCAGAGTCACCAGGTCTGTGGTGGGGCCTAGGGAATGTGTGGTAAGTTCTCAGATGGTATTAATGATGATATTGGGACTGCTCTATGAGAATGCCTGCCTGTGGAGTGGTGGGGAAGCCAGATCCTGATATCCTTAAGTACGTATGTCAGACAGCTGTTTTGACAGAACTAGAAATTGTTAACATTTTCATCTTTCTTGGATCTACAGTCAACACCTCTGGTACTGCAGTCAGAGAATCAAAAGATGTGTTGCATTGGGAAAATCTACTGTTAGAGACCTTTCCAAGGTGCATCTGATCCAAGTCATGATCTTTTTAGTAATATGCATCTAAAAGTATAACAGTGAATAAGGGCAACAGAAGACGGATTAATGTCTCTGGGTTTGGGTGTTTGAACAGGAATGCTGAATACCTCAAGAACTGCCAAGAACAAACATCTGTCTTGAAGGTGCAGCCAGAGTGCTCATTAGAGGCAAGCGTGGTTCAAACTTTGTCTAGCATACTCTGGGCATGTTGTCCAGAGAGGCTATTCCTTGGAAAAGGACAGCATGCTGGGAAAGATGGAAGGAGAAGACCCTCAAGGAGCTAGATTGGCACAGTGGCTGTAACAGTGATGTCAGGCATGGCAGAGATGATGAGGATGGTGCAGGATTGGGCAGGGTTCAGATCCATTGTTCGTAGGTTTGCTGTAGTCGAATCATGGACACCTAATTACAGCAACTGTTTTGAAGGTCCATTTCACTTTCCAACACTCATCGCCTTACTTCCTTCAGTTTTGACTCAGATGTGGACGGTCTCCTCCCATGTGATTTACTGTCTCTGAAAAGCTGCTGGAGGGCCAGCTATGGGTCAGTTCTGACTCGATGGTACAGAAACTACAACAGATCAAGAACAGAAAAATTTGATGGGTCGGGGGAGAATTCCATGAAGGAGGCATAGGTACAATACCCAGTCAGTGCTCTTGTGGACAGCCCCCATCTGCCTGTCAAGAGAGGCTCATACTTACGTGTTGTAGTGATACTAAACAGGTTTCAGCAGTTCTGGACTACAACAGACTAGGAGAAGAGGTCAGATGACCTACCGGAAAACCTGTTCTTAAAAACCCAGTGGATCACAAACATCAATCTAAAACTAATCATGGATGGTTCAGGACCCAGTGGCAGTTACACGTTTACGTGGGGTTACCTTGAGTTGAGGGCCAACTTGATACCAGCCAACAGCAGCAGCCAGGACCGGGGAAGCAAGTTTAGTAGCCTATCAGAGCTGACTTAACATTAACATGAAAAGGAACAGGGAAACCTTCAAGTGGCCCCTGGATCTTACAAACTAGTAGACAACAGGGTTTCTGGATCTTGGTGTCATAGGGCAGCAGAAGTTTGAGCCTCTGACAGAACTTCTCCATGAGAGAACTTGGGAGGCTGGCTGCCTCGCGTAACTGTTAGAATGCACACAGACATTTAAATTGCGTATGGACATTATTTGTAGGCATTCCAAACACACTTCCTGAATTCTGCCATTACTGAATTGGCATGTGATACTTTATGCCCTTTATCTCCAGAGAACATTCCATGACCAGACAGTTTTCCTCCCTGACCTTCTCACAAGCCCAGTATTGATTTTTATCCCAATTCTGCCATATTAGTATGTTGCTTTGCTTGGCATGCAAATAGAAGCTACTAAGTTTTCTTTTTCATTTAATGTACTCATATTTTACAGTAATACTTTTTACTAATATAGAGATATGCATAATTGTAGAAGCTACCAACATTGTTTGTATGTTGTTTTCCTTTCCAGTGTTTTGGTAGAATTATTTCTGTACATGTTTGTCATGTGAGGTACAGCATGCTTTTTTCAGGATAAGGGCCCAATCTGCTTTTGACATCCAAGAAAATCCATTCCTATTATTGTTTGTTGCTATTTTTGAGTGCCATCAAGCCAGACCTTCCAGGGGATGTTCAGAAGCAATACACCATGCACAGGAAATTGCCCATCCTTCTCCTGTGGATTTGAACTGTGTGCCTTTGGGATTGCAGTGCAGCTTCTTACCACTAGGCCACCAGAGCTCCCAGATGATGATGACAACTATGATGATTATTTCTTCCCATTATAACTGTGCCCTAAACTACAGTGTGGGTTAGCACTTTCCCATTTTTGAAAGGATTCTCATAATGTTCTACTGCTTAGAATTCATTCTGGGTGAAGTTATAAAATAATGACTTAATAATTAAGGCACAGACATAAAAAATAAGCACACCTGGGAAAAAACAGCACCAGCTAGCAATCTTGCTCCCAGGTGGAAAAGAGGGTGAATCATCAATGCTTTGGTGCCATCCTGTGGATATTTATTGAATCACACTGAACTTGGCTTGGTGAATGGTTTCAAACTCCAAGTTTTTTACGTTTGGAGATCATTTGTCGTTCTTCCTTATAAATGAATGTTATTCCCTTGTCCTTGTAATAAGCTTTATCAATGAAGAATTCACGAACAATTCACCCATTTAAAAGGTACCATTAATTCAGTGACTTTTAGTATAACTGGAGAGTTGTATCATCACAATCAGTTTTAGAACCTTTTCTTCATCCCAGAAAGAAACCCCCAATCACCCTAGCCTTCTTTGCCTCCATTCACCAGAGAGCCAAGAAACTACCAATTTATTTTTTTATTAGCCATCACTCTAACTTTCCACTCGTCCAGTCGACTCAGTGCCAGGAAACAACTCATTTACTTTGTGTCTCTTGAGATTTGCCTTTTTTTATACATTTGGGATCATACACTATATTGCCATTTGTGTCTGGCTTCTTTCCGTTAGCCTTCTTTTTAAAGTGTCATCTGGTGACAGAGTGCTGCGCTGTTAAATGAAAGGTCTGTCATTTGAATCTTTGGAAAATTCAAGCGTGGGGAGTTTATGAGTTGAAAGTGACTTGATGGTGGCAGTGGGATTATCCATGTTGTAGAACTTCACTGTTGTACATGTTGTACATGAGAAGCTCAATATGAGCTGTGAAAACTAGGCCAGGGGCTGATTGTGGAACAGACCACCAACTACTCATATGCAAGTTCAAGCGGAAGCTGAGGAAAATGAAACTGAATCCACAGGAGCCAAAATATGACTTTGATTTCATCCCACCTGAATTTCAGAATCATCTCAGGAACAGGTTTGAGGCCTTGAAAACTAATGAGCAAAGACCACATGAGTTGTGGGAGGATGTCAAATATATCATCCTGGAAGAGTGCAAACAGTCATTACAAAGACAGAAGAGGAAGAAAAGACCTATGGTGATGAAGGAAGAAGTTGAAGCTGCTTTGAAGGAAATAGCAAAAAATAAGGCCCCAAGAATAGATGGTATACCAATTGAAGTATTTCAGCTAACAGATGCTGCTCTGGACGTGCTCACCAAGTTGTGCCAAGAATTCTGGAGAACAACTATTTGGACAACTGAGTGGAAGAGATCTATATTTGTTCCCATTCCAAAGAAGGGTGACCCAATAGAGTGTGGAAACTACAGAACAATATCATTGATTTCACATGCAAGCAAGATTCTACTGAAGATTATCCAAAAACGACTGGAACAGCACATCAGCAGAGAACTGCCAGAAGTCCAGGCTGGGCTTAGAAGGGGTCGTGGTACTAGGGATATTGTAGCTGATGTTAGATGGATCTTGGCTGAAAGCAGGGAATACCAGAAGAATGTCTATCTGTGTTTCATTGATTACACAAAGGCGTTTGACTGTGTGGATCATAACAAACTGTGGCTGACTCTGAGAAGAATGGGAATCCCAGAACATTTAATCGTGCTAATGCGAAACCTATACTTGGACCAAGAGGCAGTCATCAGAACAGAGCAGGGTAACACTGTATGGTTCAAAATTGGGAAGGGTGTACGCCAGGGATGTGTCCTATCTCCATACTTTTTCAACTTGTTTGCAGAGCAGATTATCCGAGAGGCTGGGTTCTATGAGAAGTGTGGTGTCAGGATTGGTGGAAGATCTATTAACAATCTGTGTTATGCAGATGACACAACCCTGCTTGCCGAAACTGAGGAGGACCTCATGCACTTGCTGCAGAGGGTCAAGGACTGCAGCCTTCAGTATAGACTGAGACTCAATGTCAAGAAGACAAAGATTCTCACCACTGGGCCAATTGGTAGCATCAGGATGGATGGCAAAGAGATTGAGATTTTTCACAGCTTCAGTTTGCTCGGCTCCACGGTCAACACTCTTGGCACCAGCAGCCAGGAAATAAAAAAACTTATTGCAATGGGAAATTCTGCTGTTAGGGACCTCTCCAAAGTACTGAAGATCAATGGTGTCTCTCTGAAGACTATGGTGCACTTGATACAGGCCATGGTCTTTGCAGTCACTTGTTATTCATCAGAGAGTTGTACAGTGACTCAGGAGGATGGAAGGAGAATTGATACCTGTGAGCTGTGGTGCTGGAAAAGAGTATTGAATGTACCATGGACTGCCAAGAAGACAAACAGATTCAACCTGGAGAGGGTTAAACCAGGCTACTCCTTGGAGGCAAGGATTCTGGGGCTTCGTCTGACATACTTTGGACATGTTGTAAGGAGGGACAGGTCCTTGGAGAGGGACATCATGCTTGGTAGGGTGGAGGGACAATGCAGGAGGGGAAGACCCTCTATGAGGTAGATTGATTCAGTGACGGGGGTAATTGGGATGGGTGTGTCAGAGGCAGTGCGATTGGCACAGGATAGAGCAGGGTTTAGGGCTGTTGCACACAGGGTCGCTATGAGTCACAACTCGATGGCACAGAACAGCAACAACAACGACAACAACAGAACTTCACTTTTCTCTGTGAGTGACTAATATTCTGTTATATGAACATACACTTCACCAGCGTCACAATTCAAAGACATTGATTCAAAGTCATCCTTCGCAAAGACTATAGAATGTTGCAGGAACTGCCAAAAGAACAAATAAATCTTAGAGGAAGTGCAACCAGCGTGCGCTTTAGAGACAAGGATGGTGAAACTTGGTCTCACATACTTTGCACATGTTGTCAGAAGGGACCAGTCCTTGGAAAAATACATCATACTGGGGGAGGCAGTGGGCCAAGGAAAGGCTCTCAGTGAGATGGAGAGACACAGTGAGTGCAGCGATGGACCTAAGCCTGGCAGGGATGGTAACATAATGCAGAGCAAGGTTTTGATCCATGGTTTGTAGGGTTGCACTGAGTCTGCCACCTTGATGGCACCTCACAACAATAACAACATATGAGCCCAATACATTTTATTTGTAGATATATGCGTTATGGTCCCTTTTGGCTATCATGAATAATACAGCTGCTAGCATTTGTGCTCATGGTTTTTGGTTTTAGATGCACGTGTAAATAGGTTTGTACTTCTCTTGGGTATATATACCTAGCAGCGGAATTTCTGGGTCAAATAGTAATTCTTTCAGGTTTTTAGGACCCTTTAGTCTTTCCTCCATTCCCATCTTCAGTGTGTGAGGGTTCCAATAGAAGTCTAGCATATTTCAAGAAATGCTTTAGTAAAACTGTTCCCAGTATTATTTTTTAGAAATTATATAAGTATCGCAGTACATAGTCACTTTAGAAAAAGAACAACCTTGAAAAGTTAAAAATTATTCACTGTAATCCAGCAATTTAGAGATCTGATGTCTTTATTTCTAGAGTTTTGAAAGTATGTACACATACTGTATACCTAATGCTGCTATACGTATGTAAAAGTATATACCCCCCAAAGAGTATATACAACACACACATATATACATTTTCGTTTTACAAAATTGGAGGTTTTCAAAACAACTATGAGATATCATCTCACCCCAGTAAGAATAGCAAAATTTAACAAAATTGGGAATTTTCCCCCCAATATATATTCTTTCAAGTCAACTTCAGCAGTGTCTTTCTATGGATTTGTATTCATGACCATATGGGTGAGATGGCTTTGGGAAAGGGAATACTTAGCATTTTCTTTCCTTAGTGTACTCAGACAGTGTCTGGTTTGCATTTGGGCTCATCAAGAAAACAAAGTCCTTTAGACCAACAGGCAGCATCATGATAGATTGGGAAAAGACTGAAGTTGTCGGCGATTTCCTTTTACTTGGAGCCACTGTCAACACAGATAACAGCAGTCAAGAGATCAGAAGAGCTTTTGCACTGGGAAAATCAGCTGTTCTTTTACTTTTGAAAGAGAGGAGCGAACTGGGGGCTGTCAAGCAAGAATATCTCCAAAATGCTAAAGACAAATTATATCTGTTTAAAGACTAAGGTGCACCTGAACCAAGCCGTGGTGTTTTCTGTTGCTTTGTATGCATGTAGAGGCAGTAAACTGAGTGAGGATTGTTCATTGTTCTCTCATGGATTCAAACTACATGCCTTTGGGATTGCAGCACACCTTCTTACCTTTAGGCCACCAGAGCTTCCATACATTTGGAAAATGGATGATAATTAAGGAAGACTAACAGGGTGGTGCCTTTAAATTGTAGTGTTGAGAAAAGTACTGAATATCCATGACCTGCCAAAAGTGCAAAAAATTTGTCTTGGAGGAAGTTCAACCAGGGTACTCTTGAGAGGCAAGGATGGTGAAGCTTCCTCTTGACATCATTTGCGCTTACTGTCAGAATATGTCCAGTCCTTGGAAAAAGACAGCATAATGGGGGAGGTGGAGGGTCAGACAGAGAGGGAGACCCTCAACAAGATGGAGTGACTATAAAAATGAGCTTCAGCATATCAGGAATCATGGGCATGGTCCAGGGTAGGGCAAGGTTCAGATGTGTCGTTCACAGGGTCGCTGAGTTTTATTTGACTTGATGGCACCTAACAACAGCAGCCACAACAACAGTGTGAGGCAAAGACTCTGAGACCTTGGTTGCTGCTAGCTAACTTTAGTTCTCTTTTACCTTAGTAAAGCAGCCCTGGTAGGTATAGTACGTCGTGTGTTGAGCAGTTCAAATCCACCATGGGAGAAAGATGGAAAGTCTTCATCCATCTAAATCCTCCATCAAGTTCTAAATTCTCGGGAACTTGGCGGAGGGATGACATTGTTCAGAATGGACTTGACTGCCGTGGGCTTGGTTTTGATTTTGACCTTGAGCTCCATTCCTCTCTATTTTTAGAAGAATGAAAATTTTGTTTGCTTTAAATACTTTTTGTTCTCTTTTGTTTTTAAAGCACTCACTGAAAATGACCAGGACTGTCAGTCACCGCTCAAGAATCCTCTACTCTCCACCTCAAGACCCCTGGTTTTCGGGAAATCGAATGGCACGTACCCCTTTTCACTGGCCCTTTCCTTGCAGTCGTTTCCGTCAGCCCCCCCCTCCTGGAAGCAGCCTTGTCTAGCTCTACTTGCTCCCTTCAAAGTGTTGAAACCAAGCCCACTACATTCAGGGCCGAAACCTTCTAAGTTCAGGTGTGGCCAAGTCACTGACCCTCCACCGTGGCATATTCACCCTATTGTGTTTTCTCCCCTCTTGATGAATGGTGCTTCAAGGAGCTCTGTCTGGCATAGTCTGTAGGGAGTGACACTGCTTACCCAATGGTGGCACCTGTCTGGTAGTTCAAATCCACTTGCAGCTTCACTGGGAAAAGAAGGGCAGTCTCTTCCCACACAGTCTACAGCCTTTTGAAAGCCTCTTGGCAGGCCAGCTGTAATTCCGTTCTGACATGTCGGTAAATGAGGATTTTTCAGTTTGTTTTGAATGGTGGTTGATGGGTCATTTTTTAGGAAGAGAAGTTCTCCAGCCACCACACTCCAGCCACAGCTGGTGGTCAGTCTCTATGTGGAACTTACTTAATGGAATTCTGCACCCCTTAACCAGGCCTTTTCTGAATTTTCCTTTCTGCTTTCACTGAACGTCTCTGTTTTCCTTTGCCTCAAGGAGATGCAGCTGATTATCAGAAACAGCTGAAGCAGATGATTAAGGATTTAGCCAAAGAAAAAGATAAAACTGAAAAAGAGTTGCCAAAAATGAGCCAGGTATGAAGTTTAATCTTGTGCAAAGAATGGACTATTTGACCAAAGTCTGGTTTAGTGAGGGTAAGATGTTCATAATTAGGCATAGCCCTTCATCCTGAAACCATAAAGGATCTTGTAATTTCTGGGAGCTCAGTGTGGTCATTAAAGGGGACTCTTTAATCTTTTAATCTAAGCAGATTCAAAGATATTCCATATATATATATTCAAAGATCTTATAAGAGGAGGCTGTTAGACAGTGTTTCTGAAGGGTTGTGTTTTTTGTTTTTTGTTTTTTTTTGTTTTGTCCTGTGCATCATTTATTTTCCCAGATAGTGATCAGCATGTATTCAGTAGAGCAATGGAAGCATATTTGAGGCTTTGGGAGTGTGTGAACACAGCACTTATTTCTTAGATTACATTAGTAAAAACAATTTATTTTTCTTATTGCCTACAGGGCAAGATTTACTTTGTATTACTTGGTACTAGCTGCAATAATTTCCACATATGTTAAAATCCCATGAAGTCACCTTTTTTGTTTTCCGGAAGGGCCAAAGACCTTTTCTTGCATTCTGCTTACAGAAAGTATTGATATTTGCCTCCAAGAACTAACTATAGCTAGTTTCCCGCACCCTACCCCCAAATACTGTTTTATACTTTCTTCCTGGTTATAGTTTTTATTATTCTTCTTCCAGAGAGAATTTATCCAGTTCTGTAAAACCCTGTACAGTATGTTCCACGAAGATCCAGAAGAAAACAGTTTGTATCAAGCCATCGCCATGGTGACCACCCTCCTGCTGCAGATTGGGGAGGTGGGCCAGCGCAGCAGCAGCTCTGGAAGCTGCTCCCAGGACGGTGGGGAGGACCTGCGGGCGGCGGCCTCCTCGCCAGACCAGGACTCGGTGTTTGCCGAAGCTGAGACTGTACCCCAGGACTCCCAAGGGTTTCCTGACGCAGGAAGAGACGGGGATTGGACTGTCTCTCTTGAGCACATTTTAGCATCACTTCTGACTGAACAGTCTTTAGTGAACTTCTTTGAAAAGCCACTAGAAATTAAATCCAAGCTTGAAAATGCTAAGATCAATCAGTACAGGCTGAAAAACCTTGAAATGAGCCGCCAGTCTCAGCCTGAACTCAAGCTGAACAACTTGTAGCAAGATAGCAGCGCGCCGAGCTACACTGGAGCCCACCTTACCAAAGCAGGGGCCATGCTCCAGCTGTCACCCACAAATCCAGATTTTAGTACTTCCCTGAGTCATCTGGATAGAGCAACCTGACAGAACTGTGGACAGGAAATGCGATGCAACCCTGTTATTTCTATTTATTCATGGAAATTGGCAATTGGACTTCAGTACCTTAGGGTATCCATGCACCTTCAATTGACACTGTGATTCACAATCTTACTCTTAGCAGGTTTGATGAAATGGGCATTTGTCATGATGCGAGTTAGTCTGTTCCTCCTGTGGAACAAGTTGAATTTGTGATACTAAACAGAACAGCCTCAAGCTGAAGGTTCAAGTTTCAGTCAGGTTCATCCTAAAGTTCCCAGAGCCATTACCTGTGCAATTGTTTTTGGGGTTTTTTTTTGCACTAATTGTTTCAATGCTGGTAATTGAAACCATTTTAAGATATATTTGGTTGTAATTCACTTTGTATGTCCTTCCAAAAATATTGTGTACAAATCTTGCTTTCAATGTTGGCCTGTTTTTTAATAAATTTTTCTATTGACTTGGTCCTTTTCTTTCACTCATTATAATGTCTCCAGATGTGAGCTCTTACCTCAGTACTGTGCTAGCAATAAACTATGTGAGTGGTGTCCACATGCCAGTTGTTCAGTGGACACTGCTGCTACTAAGCGGCTGGCTGCCCATCCCACCATGGCTGTGCCCCTAGTGTGCTCAAGTGCCATTATCACTGCTGAGCACAATCTTGAAACATCATGTTAAGGACTGAATTTAAGAGGAGGTATATACTTTTGAGAAATGTTATGAGCCTTATTTTAATGCAAAGTAATAACTCATAAAAAAGTCTAGTTTCAACTGATAGTGGCTGGCTAAGTTACTAAGACTGCTCATCTCTGGCTGACCAACTGTAGGGAGCAGTAGTTTTCAGGCTAACCGTGAACTCACTATGCCACCAGAGCTCTTGACATTATTAACCCATCATGGTTCCTTTTTACACTATCAGAAGCAAAAAGACACTAAGTGGGTTTTTAAATTGGTGGTTTATTAAATTGATGCCCGAATTTCACTTCAAAATTGCCCTGCTGCCCCCAGTTTTTGCTTTCTTATCAGCTATAAAACAAGTCATCACAAAAACAGGAGAAAAAATTGAAATGTCACAAGAGATGAAAGACTGCACTAGAACATTGAGAAGCCAAAACAAAAAAGGAAAATGTGCCCAAGGAAAAGAGCTGAACAAGATTTTAAAGGTCAGCTTGGGAGGACAAAGTATTATAATGGAATGTGCAGAGCTGGAATTGGAGAAAAAAAAAGAACTTGTTCTACATTTCTGAGAACTGAAAAATAAATTTAAGCCTTGAGGTGCAGTACATATATTGAATGACCCAGAAAGCATAAAGAGAAAATGGAGGGAATACAGTCAAGAACCAGAAAGAACTGATTGACCCAGAGAAATGTCAGGAAGTACCATATGAACAAGAGCCAATAGTAATGGAGGAAGTGGAAACCGCATTGAAGGCATTGGCAAAAAATAAGGTCCCAATAATCAATGGGATAACGATTTGTTTCAGTTAGCAGATGCAGGCCTGGACGCGCTCACCAGTCAAGGAGTGCTATCTTGGCCAAAAGATTACAAGAGGGCCTTATGTGTTCCCATTCCTAAGAAAGTGATCCAACAATGTGGAAAGTATCAAACAGTATTAGGATCACATAAAAGCAAGATACTGAAGATCATTCAAAAACAGAACAACAGTACATAAGAACTGCCAGAAGAATCCTGGCTTAAAAGAAAATACAAGAATGTCTATTTGTGCTTTAAATTGTGTATCATAAGTTGTGGCTGACATTTAAGAATGGGAGCCACAGGCCACTTAATTTTGCTAACAAAGACCTTGACCTGGAACAGGCCACTGTGGTTTGAAATTGAGATCACTGTTGTATTCATTCACTCCTTATCTATTCAATCTATATGCTGAAGCAACTTATGGCACAGCCTTGCTTACACGGAGACCTCTCCCAATTACTAATGTCAGTTTGAGGACTAAGGTGTACCCTGTTCAGGCCGTGGACTTTCTGATCCCTAGCTATGCATCTGGAGAGCAGGACCGTGAATAAAGACAGAATTGATGCCTTTGAGCTGTGGTGTGGGAGAAGCAAACAGAATCCAAAAGGGGGAAGGGTTGGTGAAGGAGAAGACTATCCTAATCAGGTACACTGACAGGGACTGAAGTGTGAGGACAGCACAGAATAGAATAGGGTTCAGATCTTTTTCACAGGGTCACTGAGCCAGACTTGACTCTAGTAGGGAACCTAACAACTGCTTCCCCCACTGTTTGGGCACTTGCCATCAGATGCTGTTGACTGAACTCCTGAATCATGTGAGGTAGAACTACAGGGAATCTTGACAGAACAGATCACCTGGGCTCCTTAGGCACTGAGAATCTTTAAGTTATATCTGTATAATATGACCATGTTGTGTTGCATTACATAAAACAAAACCACATGAAGACAGTTTTATAACTTTATTTGTTTAGTTTTCATCCACATTGACGGTCTGTAGATCTGCAAAAGAAATGAAAAGCCTGTCAATTTCGATACTCAACAAGGAATAATTTTAATATCCAAAACATTTCAAGGAAGGTTTTATGGCAAGTATTCCATTTCTGTAGCTATAATACCTATTTTGAGGTTTCCACTACTCTGTGTACTTAATTTAGCCTTTTGCATTTGCCCGTATCATTTAGGTAGAATGATTACACTTGTATTTCCTACTGGCAGACTCCTTAGTTATGTGGTATACAAATGAGTATTTGGTAAATACAGGTTATAAAACATTAAATTTAAATAGCATTGTAGAATTTATGAAAAACTTACTTTTGAAAGTGGTGACAGGTACATAGGTAACCAGTGTATACAGCTTGTTTGGGGAATCTTCATCCTCATTACGTTTTCTGGACAACCGTACACGGATGCGGTATGGGACATTCCTTCAAAAACAGACATTTCACATGATCATGAGTTGGTACCAAAGCTGTAAATCTTTACAAAAGATTTTTTTTTGTCCTGCAGAAGAACTTGTGGATTCAAACAGCTGACTTTGTTAGCGAGGCAACAAAACTAAGCCACCAGGGGATCTCAGAAAATATATATACACTCCAGGTGGGCAAATGCTGCCCACCTCAGGACGTGTGCTCGTCTACACAGAAGCTGCCACTCTATGTTGGTGGACTTCTGCCTTTACTGCCACCATAGCAATCTGGTATGTAAAAGGTTTACATGCAAATTTAATTCTACAAGAACACGGTTTTAAACTACAAAATTATATGAAATGCATTAGATTATTAAAATTCTCTTTTATGTAAACAATGCTCCAAGCCTCTCTCATCCAATTTCTCAGCCACTTTCCAGTTGATCGCACTTTCTTCTGTGGCGGTATGAGGATATGTTGCTGATCCCAGACCCTGCATATTCTTGCTATACAATGCCCGACTCATTACTGTGATTCTGCCCTGTGACCCTGCATCAGTTAGGTGTCAGTCCAAATGTCATTTTAAGGTGCTTCCCTGCAGATGCCACTCTATCCTTTCAGTCTCTGAAGACACAGTTTTCTTTTTATGCACAAGTTTATCTTATGAAAAGAATTTCCACCTTATTCCTTTGGCCCAGACAGCTTTGTTAAGCCTGGTGTCAATGCGAACATCTGGTGTGCCCATCTCCTTCATGGCAAATTTCCGGATCTCCTTTAGTGCCCGAGGAGCACGCTTCTTAAATCCCCTAAAATTTAAAAACACAGATCAATTAAATAAATGAATAGTATATACCGTTTTCACAAACACAAAACTTAAATGCATACTCCTTGATAAAATATAATCTGAGCACCTACTACACCTTAAGAGTCCATTTTTAAAGCAGGTATCTTTTACTGGTTCATTATTACTGTCACTGTCATTTGTGGTTTGTTCTGAAGCCAGTTCAACAAACTGGTGACCAGAAGAACAAGAAACCCTTAAAATGTCTAAATTTAAAGAACAGGAGGAGCCACAAAGGACTATAATGGAGAGAATGTTTTATTCTGGAGTTCTTTGGATGTGCCAACATGTGAGATATACTCAATCTGCTTAGAATTCTGCATCAGGAATGGTTAATCGTTTATTCAGATGAAAATCCTTTGATTAATTTCACTTTCAGTTACTAAGAAAGGCCAAAATGAAAACTTACACAGGTCAAGCATTTAGTTATGTGAAGGCCATGTTAAAAGTGGGGCAGCTAAGGAGGTGTTCTACTAATCTTAAGACTTTAAACGTAAAATAGCAATGACCATGGCTACCTTACATCTCTACCAGGTAAACAGCTCTTAGAAGATGTTTAACACTTTCACTTCATGAAAACTGGCCAAAAATCAGCACAAAGAATTGCAACCCGTTTCCTTCAGAGCTTTCCTTGGGCTCCCTGCTCACCCAACTTCTGTTACTACATTCTTTGCTCAACCTCAGTAATCTTTTTCTAGACTCCCATCAAACAAACTGGATTTATTTATTCAGTACTGTTAGTTGCTGCCAAGCAACCTCATGAAAACACAGCCCAAATCCAGCCACAAACAGCAGCTAACAGAAAAAATCCAAAAGAGAAAAACTCCCAACCTCATTCCTCATGTACTTTATGTAACATTGAACATTATCAGGTAGTGTTAAGTATGACAAAGAAAAGTAACCTATGGAAAACTGGCAAGCTTAAACAAAACCAGAACTCTGCAAGGCTGACCCTGAAGATAAGGCCAGTTAAAGCATCTGTGAGCAAGTATTCTAGTTGAGAAAAAACAAAACAGAAGCATGTTTCATTAACAAACATGCCTATCGGGCAAGCTCACGTGGGATCACAGCAGTTTAGCTTTTAACATGAAGTACATGAAAAGCAGAAAATGCTTGCAAATAGACCATGCATCTGGAAATGAAGACAGGTGGCTGCTAGGATCA